AGCCCCCGAGCCCCCAGGACAGCCCCCGAGCCCCAGGACAGCCCCCGAGCCCCTCTCGGCTGCCTCTCGGCTCTCCCCGGTGCAGAGCCCATCTCCCCTCCCGTCCCCTCTATCCCGCTCCTCCTGCTCCCCGGCGAGTTTTAGCCACAAATGCACCTCTCAAGTGAAAAAAACCAAGGCACGGGAAACAATGCACAAACGAAACGGAGTTGCCAGTGGGGGGAAGAAACTCTATCTAGGCAGAAAGTTCCGCTGCCCAACAATATTTCTGTCTCTGCCTGCACAATGTTATCGTGTCCTGCGCCTCCGTCACGCCTATACGGCAAATATTATATTAATGGCTTTGTTCAAATAGACAGTTGGAAAAAAGACCGGAGTATCAAAATCTCCACGAAATAGTTTTGGGAATTGCATGGGGCAGGCCGAGGGGGAGGGAAAGACAGGTGTCGGTCCCCAATCTCCCTAGAGGCGCATCCGTCCACAAAGGTAGAAGAGAGTGCTGTCCCAGGCCACGGACACGGCGGCAAGGATGGTGCCAGGGCGGAGGTGGGGAGGAGGAGAGAGGAAACCAGATTGTTTTCCATGAGTTGAGTGAATTTCGGGAGGATTATTATTATTATTATTACTATTATTACTATTATTATTAATAATACAATATTAATTATTATTAATAATAATACATTATTATTAATTATTATTATTAATAATAATAATAGTAGTAGTAGTAGTAGTAATAAATAATTAAGCCAAACTTTCGAACTAGACCTTTTTCTTTTCTTTTTTTTTTTCCCCTCTTTCTCCTATACCCGAAGAATGAAAAAACCAGCAGGAAAACGAAACTTTCCCCGCGGAAGCCTAAAATTCTCGCTTGTTGCCCCCAGCCCTGCGGGGGGAGCAGGCGGGGGCCGTGCATGGCCGGTGTGATGTGTGTGCAGGGTTCCTGCCGGGGCACGGCGCAGGAACAGAAAGGGGCACCGCGCTGTGCCGAGTGCCACAGAGCGCCCGCAGCCAAACCCCGACATACTTTGTACCGTGTGTGCGGCCCGACGATTTATTTTTCACGGAAACCCTTTGGATTTAGGTGTCCATGGATGCTGCGGGGCTTTGCGCTGTTGCCAGGAAAAGGCGGCCAGGGCCACACGGCTCGGTGCCACACGCCGTGCCCGGCCCCGGCTCCGCCACTCGCCCCGGGCTTGCCGGCCTTGTCCCGGGGCCCGACCGACCTCGGCCCTCCGACAGATTCCGGGCCTTCCCCCTTCCCGGTAGCTCCAGTTTAGTTTAAAGTAACAGAACAAGGTGGTTTTTTTTCAAATACAAACTCATGCATGCATAGGTTTCGATTTACCAACATTTTTTATACATGTATACATTGATTTTAATATTTATTTATATACTCAGGTAGATATATACACATCACTTTGCAAACATTGTACGTGTATTTAAATACATATTTTAAATACATATTTAAATTTTAAACATAGGTTTATATTTATAAACGCTGTATATATAAATACAGAATCATGGCAATAGGAAGATGGGAGCGGTGGGAGAGTCCACTTATCTTTCTTGAGACGATTGTTTCATTCTGGCTGTTTAAAGCATCGTTCCCTACAGACGATATCAACCCCAAAAACGTTCCCAGACGCTGGCAAGAGTGGCCCTGGGTTTCCGTGCCCACCTCCGGCCCCTCCCCGGTGCCCACGCAGGATTGCGGCGATCCCGCTGCTGCCGCTTTTCACGGGAACAAGAAACCCAAGGTTTCATCACCTTGGCCAAATGAAACGGCTGCGCTCCAGCTCCCGGCCCGGCCCTGCAGGCCCACTAATTATTATAATTATCATTGCTTCGCTGTAGAGGGGGTTTTTTTGGTGCTTTGGGTTTTTTCGGAGACTTTTTTTGAGGGGTTAAATTTTTCAATTTTGCTTTGGTTTGTGTGCGTGCGTGGTGGAGATTTTTCTTTTCCCGTTCTTACTATTTTATTTTATTTTATTTTATTTTATTTTATTTTATTTTATTTTATTTTATTTTATTTTATTTTATTTTATTTTATTTTATTTTATTTTATTTTATTTTATTTTATTTTATTTTGTTTTATTTTATTTTATTTTATTTTATTTTATTTTATTTTATTTTAATTTTATTTTATTTTATTTTATTTTATTTTATTTTATTTTTATTTTATTTTATTTTATTTTATTTTGTTTTATTTTATTTTATTTTATTTTATTTTATTTTATTTTATTTTATTTTATTTTTATTTTATTTTATTTTATTTTGTTTTATTTTATTTTGTTTTATTTTATTTTATTTTATTTTATTTTTTAAAATTTAATTTTAAGAGGGAGCTTCCCTGAAAACCTCCTCCAAACCATTGCTAAAAAAAATATTAAATTATCGTAAAATAAAAGAACAGCAGGGGTTGTTTCGTGGTCCCCGCAGCCCCAGGCTGACTCTCGCTTCTCTCCAGGGGGATCCTACATGGTGGAACCGGAGGAGAACAAGCGGACCAGGACGGCGTACACGCGGGCGCAGCTGCTGGAACTGGAGAAGGAGTTTCTCTTCAACAAGTACATCTCCAGGCCGCGGCGGGTGGAGCTGGCTGTCATGTTGAACTTGACCGAGAGGCACATCAAGATCTGGTTCCAGAACCGGCGGATGAAGTGGAAGAAAGAAGAAGACAAGAAGCGAGGGGCGGGCAACAGCAACGACCCCGAGCAAGACTGCGTGGTGTCCTCCGGGGAGCTCCAGACCAAGGAGGATCTCCAGGCGTGTCCCGCCGGGAACCTTCCTTCGGGAGCCTCCAGGGACCTTCTCGGCCCCAGCCTAGTGCCCAGAAGGCAGCAGGACTCTCGGTGAGCCGCGGGGAGCCCCAGGGCCCTGGACGAGGAGAAGGATGGGACACGGAGAAGAGCCGAGAGCTTCCCTCCGCCGGGCAGAGCCACTCGAGCCTTCCCTCGGGGAAACGCGGTGCCGCCATTCCCAAACTCTCGTTCCCGGGAAATAGACGGAAGATGCCGGGCTGTGGCAAGGAGAGGCTCGCTGTGGGCTCTAGCCCCGGAGGAGGCCGCAGGGAGCCGCCGGGATGGCGGCGAGCTGGGCTCCGCTCCCCCGGGCCGTCCGCGCCTCAGCGAGCCCCACGGGCCA